CTGGGGGTGTCCAGGCCTCCCCAGTGCCGTGCAGCATGGCCTTGTGCGAGGGGTCCTGGCCTTGCCCTCTTGGTAAAGTCCCAGTACTTCGCGTCCCTCGATGGAGGAGTGGCCCTGTGGTGACAGACCTGCCTCATGGGTAGCACCATGGGTGGGTGCCATGCTGGACAGGGGAGCCCGCAGCAATCCCCTGTCCCCAGGGGCTGGTGGGACCAGAGGCAGGATGGAGACAGGCAGCGGGGCTGTTGGGCATCCCATGTGCTGTGACTCAGGCACACGTCACCGCGCTGCGTGGCTCAGGTCTGCCCGTGGCTGATGTGGGCCTGCAGAAATCATCTGGTGACTCACACACTCCCTCCCCGTGGAAAACGGCGGTCATGGGGCTGAGATCACCTTGGAAGCCATCCATCACCGTTCGGCAGCAGCGGTGAGAGGTGCAGGGACGGACTGACAAAGCAGTTCTTCCTCCCACTGGGCTGCTGGCTAAAATTCGAGGCGTTTCCCTGGGTAGGAGTGTGACGGGGCACAGGGAGGCTTTGTGCGGCTTTACCTGACACCTTGGCTGGGTCGGGCACAGCAAACGGGACGGTGTTTGTGCCTGTTGGTGGCTGCGTGCGTGGCCAGGTGAGTCAGAGCATCCACCTCCAACATCACCGCTGGGCCAGGAGCCCTTGAGGCAAGGCTAAATGCCTGGAGAAAGGCACGAGGCGTGGACGGGCTTCAATCCCGCTGCCTCTGCGAATTTCTGTCTGCTGGGCGCACCGAGGGGTTTAGTGCCATGGGGCTGTTCATCAGACAGCTCTGACATCGCAACACTCCCTTCCCATGGTGAGGCAGATGGATTTTTATGGAAAGCCCTTTTTCCTTCGAGTGTCAATTCCACCCCAGGCCTGCAGCTGGTTTTTCTAACCCCCCAGAGACTTAACACCACCTCTAAAAAGTCACCACCAGGTTCCAAAATGTAAAACATTTTATTAAAAAAATAATTTACTGCATCTTATATACAAACAGCAAGAACGTTTACTTATAAAATACTGACATCTAACGTGTTGCCGAAGCTGCAGGCAGGAGGAGCAAGCTCTCCAGGTGTGCTACGTGCGCACCCGGCTGTAACTCAAGGGAGGGACATTTGGTTCTACCACTAAACCAGCTCCGCTCATCTCCACAGCATTGACAGCTCAGGGTTCACTTACTGTCTCACAAACGAGATAACCCCACAGCCCAAGATGATGGGTAATAGGTTTAGGCACTCTTAGGTAAACCCACTGCCCTGCGAGCAGTTCTGTTGTATTTCATGGCATTATGGAGAAAAGATAGAATCTAAGAAAAGGTAGGAGGGGTGAATCTGCACACCCTGTAAGATGTAATACTCTGTCTTTTTTCCCTCTTGGTGCCTGAGGAAGATCCTCCATCAATATTTCTAAGATTTCAAGCACAATAGACAGACCAAGACTTCACCCAGAGCTAATTCCATAATGTTTGCATTCGGCAAGCAATCCCACTGAAGACATGTTACTCAGTGTGCCTAAACACTGCAGAAGCAATCCCTTAACTGAGGACAAACCTCATCTCTTGGAGTTAACAGCAAAACGCACATTGAAATGGGACCAAGGATTCATTGAGTAAAAACCGGGACCTGGCTCTAACCTGACCTGTTCTGTGGTCTTTTTGCAGGTGGCTGAGCTGCTCTGGCTGCAAACAGGGAAATAAACTCCTCACCCGCACACGTGCTCCCTGAAACGGAGACCAGCACAGGCGGAGCAGGAGCTGCTGTAAACGTTTGCTGAACCAAAGCGGATTCTCTCTGTGCTCTGCTGCAGCCTGGCTGAATCCTCAGCCTCAGTCCTACCGAAACGCACAGTTCCCCGCAGAGTCCAGAGTGTCTGGCTAAATTCCCGCTCCCAGATTTGCTTTGCTGCTCAGTGAGGCGTGGGGAGCATCCATGGGGCCATCGGCCAAGCGCAGCGGCTCAGCACGCCATGCGTGCTGCCGGAGCCAGCTGCCTGCTGGTTATTTCATACAGCATTTCCACGATGAGCTCAACAATGTCCGCATTGCCAATGATGGGTCGGAAGAAGAGATCCGTGATGAGGGTGGGAGGGATCGATTTTAAGGTGGAGGAGACTAGCAAAATGTGGGCAAAGCGGCCCTGGTCCTCGGGGTGCAGGGGCTGGAGGACTTCCTGAAGTGCTCTCTGGGCTTCCCGCTGGAGGCTCTCGATGTACAGGGCGGCTTTCAGCCCAGGAACATCTGCCGAGGGAGAGGAGAAAAAGCCGGTGATGAGAGAGGCTGGAAAACAGCCCCAAGTTTCTCCCATTCCCATCCTTCCCCTTCCCCATTTCTCAGAAGGGATCTCTGAGGCTACACTAATGAGATGTACTCAGCAGTACCAAAACGTAGCTATTCCAGGGATGCCGTTTGAGGGAGGAAAAATAGTTAAGTGGGGAAGCACGTGCTTTACAAAGTAAATCCCGGGGTACTTTATTGTCTGCAGGACAGGCAAAGGTCTCTGGCTTTTTCCACTACATTTGACATCCCTCCTCCCCGCTTCCCGGTGCATTTGATAATGATCAGTGTTAAGGAGAATGTAACCAGCCCACCCCGCTCTCATGCCTGCCCGCGCCCTGAACGTCTCTGAGCCAAGAGGTGCATGTTCAGATGCTGAACTCACTGGGATTGAAGAGAATGGCTCCCTTCAGGTAGGCGTATTCCTTGGGGCTCAGGTCCAGCCTCCAAAAGGCGTTGAGGCAGCACTGCAGCCGCTGCACGGCAGCCAGCGTGGGCTGCGTCCGCTCAGGCTCCTGCTGTTTACTTTGGCCATCAAGGAGGATCTTCTTGAGCATGCTGGGGGCCGGGGTCTCCATCACCTCGAAGGTCACCATCTCCTGTACCAGTCCCAGGAGGAAGAGGGGAACCCAGCAGCTGTCCAGCAGCAGGAGTTGATCCTCTCGCGGCAGCAGCTGGAAGGCAGGGAGGTTTTTCATGAAGCTGATGGTTTTTACCAGCACGTTGGAGGCCGCCTGGCAGGTGATATGGGGTGTGCGGAGGCAGACGGTGCGGCGCTGGTGGCAGAGGCAGCGCTGCTGGGCTGAGCTGCGGCCACCCCGGCTGTGGTTGAGGTTCTGACTGAGGAGGGTGTAGAGGATGGCGGTGTGCTTGTCTTCGCTGTTGCACTGGCACCTCTCACAGTCCATGTCCATGCTGCTGGTGGTCATAGCTGAGCCAGGCGGATGAATCCTCAGCGAAACTCAGTTCCCGCTACAGCAGATAGTAGAGAGACGTAAAATCCCTCCCAAATCTCCCCGTCCTCCCAGCTCTGCCAGCCCACAGCTGCTCAAACCAGCTCTTATAAGGCTGGGCCACCAGTGAAACACCCCTCCACAGCCTTGACCGCTCTGTGATTAAGCGGTCCTCATTAAAAAAAAAAACCAAACAGCCAGCCGTCCCTGGGCTGATTGGCTGGGGCAAACACGTTCTCCATATGGCGTCAACGGCCGTTTTCTCAATGAAGCGCCAGCGGCACGGGGAGGGGGACAGTGGGTTGGGTGGCCTTATCGCGATTACCCAAACAGTATAAACAAAGTCATTAACCCGGCCTGTACCATGGCACCAAGGCCCCATGCTGTCATCAGGCAGGTGTCACTGCCAGGAGGTTCATACACACACACACAGAGCGCACTCGTCTGGGCCCTGTGTTCAGCAGCCTTGGAAAGAGCAACCTGGAAGTCGTTTTATCAGCGGCTGTTTGCCTAACCTTGCTGACAGGAGACTTGTGTTGTTACGGTCAGGGAAGAGAAACCCAGTGAACCGGTTTTTTTTAGCAGTCAATCCTAGGCAGGGCCCATCGGTTTGTATCTTTCTGAGGAGATGCAGGTCAGGGGAAGGGCAAATTCTCAGATTTTCACCTTGAGTAAGAAGGTGGATAGGGAATTGGCTGGACAGCCACAGTCAGAGAATTGCAGTCAATGGCTTGATGTCTAAGTGGCAGCCAGTGACGACTGGAGTTCCTCAGGGGTCAGTACTGGGACCGGTGCTGTCTAACATCTTTGTGAGCGACACAGACAGTGGGACTGAGTGCACCCTCAGCAAGTCTTCTGACAACACCAAGCTGTGTGGTGTAGCTGACACACTGGAGGGAAAGGACACCATCCAGAAGGACCGGGACAGGGGGGAAGAGGTGGGCCCATCTGAACCTCATGAAATTCAACAAGGCCAAGTGTAAAGTCCTGCCCGGGGGTCAGAGCAACCCCCAGCACAAACACAGGCTGGGTGGAGGATGGGTGGAGAGCAGCCCTGAAGGAGAAGGACTTGGGGGTGTCGGTGGATGAGAAGCTCAACACAAGCCAGCAACGTGCACTCGCAGACCAGAAAGTCGACAGCATCCCAGGCTGCATGCCCAGCAGTGTGGCCAGCGGGGCGAGGGAGTGGATTCTGCCCTTCTGCTCTGCTCTAGGGAGAATCTCCTCTGCAGTGCTGCCTCCAGCTCAGGGGCCGCCAACAGCAGAAGGACACAGACCGGTTGGAGCGGGACCAGAGGAGGCCCCCGAGATGCTGGGAGGGCTGGAGCCCCTCTGCTGGGAGGACAGGCTGGGA